AAAATTATTTTTTTTTTTTGGCTACGAACGATAATTAGATTTTCGAATAAATCTCGAATAAATGCCACGAAATTCGAAAGAAACAACTTTTATGCTCGAGAAGTATAGTTGATAGAAGAAAAAGATAGTTGATAGAAGAAGAAAATTATTTTTTTTTTTTTTTTTTGGCTACGAACAATAATTAGATTTTCGAATAAATCTCGAATAAATGCCACGAAATTCGAAAGAAACAACTTTTATGCTCGAGAAGTATCGTTGTTGATAGTTTTTTTTGGCTACGAACAATAAATAGATTTTCAAATAAATCTCGAATAAATGCCACGAAATTCGAAAGAAACAACTTTTATGCTCGAGAAGTATCGTTGTTGATAGTTTTTTTTGGCTACGAACAATAAATAGATTTTCAAATAAATCTCGAATAAATGCCACGAAATTCGAAAGAAACAACTTTTATGCTCGAGAAGTATAGTTGTTGATAGTTTTTTTTGGCTACGAACAATAAATAGATTTTCGAATTGAAGAAAAAAAAGAAGAAAAAATATTATTTATTTCCGCGCGTAAATTTTCCCAACCTACACATTGAATAATAGAAACCTCTTCTTCACCGCGACTAATTTAACATTAAGCTTAACTATAAATAAAATTCCAACTCTCCTTGAAATGTCAACGAATTAATTTGCACGTCTAACGTCTTGCATTCCCGTAAAACATTTGGTCGGGGAAATATATTTTCTTGGCCTCGTTGCTCATTTTTCCCGGCTTGGAAAATTCTTGGCAAATTCGATTCACATCTTCGATTCTTGTTGCGCCGCCCGTCCCCGGAAAACAGGCCCCGTTGCTCGACCGACCCCCCCTTTATTTCCCCAAACGCGCGAAACATTTGGAATCCTTCCGAGTTCCGCTGGCGTGCGGCCAGCCTTCTATCTCTCCTTCGTATCTGAAACAGGCACGAGTCAAAAGTCCGGGCGAAAGTGGAACGGAACGGATTTTTGAATTTTTCGAGAGGGAGGAGTTCCAAAGATCTCGTTTCGAAAAAAAAATCTCTGTCTCGAGTCTCGCGAATAAAGCTCAACATTTCGAAGAATCGAAGATTAAAATTTTTTAATAATTCGATTGTAAAATATTAATTTCGAAGGATGAAATTTCTCGAATATTCTCG